GGGCTTTCGTCCCCGACTCCCCGTAGTCTACTGCCGCGCTGGCTCGTCCCAAGCTGGGAGTATCCCTCTTTTGACCAAATATCCAATGCCGCTTCTTTCTATCCCCGATACTTGTCGGGCGGTTCTTCCGAGACGAGATGTTGCGTTGGCCCAGTTATTCGAGTATCGACTGCTCCTCCGACTCTCCGCTGCTCTGCGCAGTAATTCTTCATATGGGTTCCTCGTGAGCTATGTGTGAACTTTGAAGTGACTGTAAGAGCTGATGCTCCGCCTATTCCCCGAGACTACTCCAAGCCACAGCGGGTGCGAACCTATGAGCAACCAGTTCAGGAGACATTTGTCAGGCTGACAATGAGACGGCCGTGGACTGACGAGAACAAACAGGCAAAAAATACCGCTCGACCGTACGATGCCGCACTGCCTTTGCTGTGAAGGTTGCACCGAACCGGTCTGGTCTGCGTACCAGCGTGCCGGACAGCGGACGTTGAACTGGATTAGAAGAGGTGGAGGCCACTAAAATCGAGAGGCGGCAAGCCCAGAGACGAATGAGAGTCTCGGTGCCGGGTTTGTATGTGCCGCCTAAGCTCCGTATTGCGCTTCGGATTGTGGCCGGTCGGCATTCCTAGCTTGCCAGTACGTCGCAAGTTCTCGTTTCCCCTTCTCCTGGTGGGCTGGTCCCCAAGACAGACAAGCGCATACAAGTGCCCAGCTGCAAAACCCTTGCCCAGAAGCTGAAGAAGTGCAACAGTATCTTTTGCCTGACTCTGGTCGGCCCGTCCGCGTGTTGCAAACCCCCCCTCGGACATGGAGTGAGAAGCCTGGTAATGGATATACCAAACTCATGGGGAACCCCATCCGCTCTGTGATTTCTCTTCAGACTTTAGTTCAAAGGCCAATATACCGTCGACGGCGCCATGATCCAGGAATCCGTAGCTTACACGATCCCGCCGTCAGGTTAGATTTCAGGGTCCTGCCGGGAAACATGGGAGGGAACTTGCAACAAGCAAGGCACGGTCAGAAGCCCGCCCGCTCCTTCAAGTCCCATCTCGGCGGAACTCCACCCAAGGCTACTTCACCTCGCGCTAGAGAAGCAAGAGAGAGGATCAAATCGAGGCACCGCTGCACCAGCCGCGTCGGGCGGCGGTCCCTGACCATGCGTACCATGGTAGTGGCATGGCAGCGCCAACACGCGTGCCCAACGACGTCGCCTGTGGGACCTTTTTCTGACTCCAGAGCCACAGTGACTCTGATGCTGCGTCTTGGCCGTCTTTGCCTTCCACAATCCAGTCTTGGGTTTGGGTAGGTATTCGTGCCTCGGGTTGGTTATTTAGTTGGGTTGTTTGGTGGATGATGAGCGGGATCTCAAGTTACTACAGACAATGGAACACGGCCCCAGCAGCTGAATCCATCGTTGGTTCATCAGATCTTTCCCCATCCGTTTGCCTTCTCAAACCCCTCCAAATCGTGACCCGCATCCATCATCCACCGTACTCCGTACTACCTTGCTTTCGGGAATACGTGGGCTTTCTGTTGGCTTGCGCATGGTGAACGCGCATTCCAAAACACTGGGTTAATTTCAGGTCATTACGAATAGAGATCTGCTGTCCTTGAATGATCGCAGGCTGCGGTACCCGTCCATGCTAATTGGAACCCCATGGAGACGGAGGAGCTACACGTTGTTGATTCGGTCCAGGGTCCAGTCGTCTTTGACTGGCGGGCTCATTTCTCAGGGGCAGCTTGGAGTTTCTTCGGTACGTTTGGTGTTGTAAAACAAAGGCTCAAGTGCTATCCGGTACTTCTCGCAAAATAATGCGCTTCGGGCTGCCATCGGATCGGAGAGGGGGGTTAGGTCCAATTACGGGTGGCTGATGGTTCTTTAAGTGTGAGCGTTCGTGACCAGGTTAGGACGAGCTCATGCCAGGGTGTCGGTGGTGATGAATGATTGGTGCGCCCGCTGCGGCTTAGTGATGAGGCTGGTATGGCTGTAGCGTTAATGAGTGCATTGACAAGTTCGCAAGGAACTGCAAGTTGGAGGCTTCATCCAATGCTAATCACGGATCTGTTGCTTGGTTGATCCATGGGACACCCACCGAGAAGCGAGCGAGAATTCGGGCGTATTGGACCGTGGCAAGCGTGGCTTGCGACCGGTTCGAACCCCACCAGCTACCTTCACCTGCTTTCTTCCCTACCGATGCGCTTGGATCGTTGCCGCCAATGAAAGACGTCGGCATGCAATAGTCTCGAACGGGTCGGGGGTCGACGTAGCTCGTGCCGCGGCACTACTTTGCCCGTGGCCTCGTTGAAGCTGTCGAACGTCTAGAACCAGGCTTCTAGCCATCGAAAGGTACCGGTATTGGCGACAAAGGCCCCCTTGACCCGTCATCCCACGCTGCATGTCTGTGTCTGAGGCTTGAGCCAGTCCAAGGTGCTCTGACCATTGTGTGGAACGATGCCGCCCACGGCGAAATCGCTGCGACATAGGCAAACCGACCACCCGTGCTACCTTATTGCGGCAGCAGGTGAGGTTGGCTCGTTCTAGTGCATATACCCGCCGGTGGCAGCATCTTCACCCGTTCCATGACGAAGCTTGAGTGGAGTTCACACGTGCGGTAGACAGACCAAGATGGCAGCGGCCAGCCTCTTGCTCTCATCCCTTGGCGGCGGATACGCTATTGCGTAGATGCGCGGGTGGTATACTCCATAATACTTGGTACCCATACTCGCTTCTTTGTGGTGATGGGTCTCGTCAGCCTTAGGCTTGGAGAAGACGGGAAATATTTCGAATGTACCGCTGGACTCGCTGTGTTCCATGTTGAACACAGGGGAGGGGGAATAGGACAACGGTGGCACGGCTGTGACCTGGCCTGTCGACCCAGATTCACGTCCACCTCTGGTCCCCCACGCGGCAGGCAACGTCTGAGCAGTTGATGGTCATCCGATGGCAGGTTGTTGGAGAATGGAGATGGAGAGTTGGAGGGTAGCACGGACTCTAGCAGGGAGTCAACTCTGCTCGAAGGACTTGGCCAGCCCGCAGGACCGAGCACGAGTTTAGGCTAATGAGAGCCGCGTGTTTTGTGCGATATCCGTAGATCGTTCGTCCATGCTAATGGAGGCAATCTCACGGCAGGCGCAGGAGTGCAAGGTGGTAGGTAGGCCCAGGCTGCGAACCAGGGTAGGTGCCCATCAATGCAGAGTCGACTTGGGGCTCGGTAAAGTTGAATATGCCAGCGACTGCAAGAGGAAACGAGAGGGGAGTGAAGAGGCACCGGAAGAATACCGAGCTCTATTTTGGGTATGTGAAAGCCATGTCGGTTCGGATGCAGAGAATGAGGAGATGTCGAGGCAGCAGAAAGTGCCTCATAACTAGCTACCGTGGTTGATGATGGATGATGTTTGGGGGTGGGAGACTTGAACTAGGTATCCATAGACTCGAGAGTCACCGTCGCTTGGGTTCCGATGCTCCGATGCAGGTGTGCTGCAGCTCGCGAGACTGGGCCGGCATTGAGGGTTTGGGAGGAACAAAGGGCGTCGGCGTGCAGCAGAGGACGGAACGAGATGCAGGAAGATGCTAGGGGGCATAGTAAAGGTCGAAGGTGGTTGAAGGCTCTCTCGGCTGGCCGTTGAATATTCGACTCTTCGTACTACGTAGAGATTGACAGGTGAGGTGAGTGAGGGATCCGCAAGGTGAGGAAGGAAGACGGTCGGAAGGGGGGGGGGCAATGCAACAAACCTCGAGGTGTGGCACTGGATGATTGTACGGGATACCACCTCTTTTGCGGTTGCTGCATGTGCCGGGGAGGTATCCGGGACCGAAGACGCAAGGACCTTTGAACACTTGCAGTTAAGGTGCAGGGAGGCCATGTTGGAGGACCCCCACACGAGACTGGAAATGGCAGCAACGTCCAGTTCTACCTGAAGTACGGAGTAGCATTGGATAAATCCGGAAGCTGTTCGTAGTCGTACCTACCTTCCATCCATCCAACAGTAGGTGTTGGGACGGAACCGTTACTGCCTCGTCGTCACGGACTGAAAAAGGTACAAAGGTACGGCTGAGATGAGGAGGAAGGAGCAGCACATGGCGAGGAAGGCGTGAATCGTGATGTGTTTCTCTGGAGAAGGAGCCATGGGTTTGATTACCTGCCTACCTTACCTTAGAAGTCCGGATAGACGAAGCTGCCGATGAGGTCAAATTCAACATTGAGGACCGGAAATAAGTGCCCGTTCCTACATCCGCACCTTAAGGTATCCATACACCCCAGGGCAGTGTTTCTTCGTAACACTCTGTAGACTACTCCGTACCTATAATCTCTTCTTCAGATGGGAAAACACAGGAAATAAGAAACGAAGAAAGAAGTCTCCATTTACAGACGCATTTCCCGCCAGACGTCTCCGTTGCCTGCCCCATCTGCTCCATTCCCCATTCCCCCAACTCGTAAGGTATCTCTACGGAGTATTCTGCACGGAACCAATGCTACTGCTACCCCTACTGCGACTCCTCACTTTCTCCTTCCCATGCTCCATTCTCACTCGTCCCAAGCGGGCCTCCTCACCCCGTCTGCCTACAGTTCTCGACTCCTCCGACCTGACCTCTGGGCCTATTGCTCCTACCAGCAACACTCATTCACAAACCTCCCTGTCTCTCTTACCGAAATCTTTCCTGTCATCCAACATCACTCGTCTCCCCTTGGTCACATCCGTATCTCGACACTGACTGACTGCCCATACCCGTACCTCGGATCACTCACCAGCTACTTCTGCCTACCTTACGTGCCTCTGGATACTCCATAACGAAGCATCCTTCGTACTCATCTTCAACCGCTCAAAACCCGCTCGGAGCTGCTCCGCGACTCCTTGTCCTCGTTGCCATCAACCTGGATCATCAACAAGGCGTCTCAAGAATAGCTCCGCTTACAACTCGCCAACCCCTGCTGCAGTCGGTGAGCCAACGGCCCAACCCTCGATATAACATTGCAGAATACAGATACACGGTACGGATACGCACCGCCCACCCGGCCCTTCTCTGCTGTTGCGAGTCATTTTGGAACCACCCATGGCACACTTTACAGGGCCAACATGGGCTACATAGACCGAAATCACCCATTGCCTCGTGGCAGAAGGGTCCCATACGGGCATCTTCCTGGCCGTCACCTTGAGTCTGGCGGGCGCTCCTAACAAGGGTTCTTCTCGGAGAATTGTCATTGTAGTGTACGATTCAAGTTACTGGGAAGTTGCGAGCCCAACTAAACTCAACATGACAGCATTGTATGGCATCGCAGCAATCTGCTTGTTTATTCCGGATGCTCTTTCCAGTATTCGTACGGGTACTCCGAGCGTACGGCACGGCTGACATCCATTCTAATACGAACGCGTCGTCGATCCAAGGATATACCAACGAAGTTGGCAGGACGTGGAGACATGACGCCCGCAGCGTTATTTGTCTTTCCTCAAGCAGGCCAGCCTGGTTCCGCCGGGCTTATTATTGCCGTTCTACGTGTAAACCGAAGCTCAACGGCGATGTCTGCCCCATACTCGATGACATGGTTTCTATGGACGCTAGGGTGCTAAGAGAATACGGGGGCAGGCTTTCACCAATATCACGGGGCCGCATCGACTTGAAGCAGCCGGGCACGACCTCCGTGGTAGGCTCGCATGTCGACAAGACACAGCTCACGATATGCACACTCCTCTACTCTGCAAGCTGCAGACTGAGTGCGTGAAAATATTCACTTCTAGGAGGGCTTCTTCAATCGACTGTCACCTTTACGATAGAGATACTGCGGCCTTGCAAAGCCATGACGAAATTTTGTTTGTCCGTCAACGCCAGATGGTCCAGGTCGCTGCCGAGCCATTCAGGGCTCTCGGTTCCATGCAGGGTGCACTATGCAGTCTCGCCCCCAATAGACCGATCTCCTAGGACGACAGCGGCAGCGGCGCGCAGGGGCATATGCATCCGACTGCGCAGTTCTATCCTCAACTCGGTTCAACTCGCATCAACTGTGGACCGGACGGTCCTAGAGCTGCCGAGGGTTTGCGAATAGTGTACACCTCCGTGGTAGCAACAAAGATATCCATGCGATGGGCTTGAAACGTTGAGATCAAGTCGATTCTCCATTCCGACTCCCGACTCCCGACTCCTGTTGCCCCGTCTGTGGTCCTGTGGATGTTCGAATGTTAAGCCGCAGCGGCCGACCCGTTGCGTCAGTCCTCAGACACCAGGGTTCGACGAAAATGGAGCGGAAGACAAAGTGGCTTCCCAGCCTCCATGATCGGAGCCTGCAAGACATGCCTTGATGCCGCCCAGCGCCAGGCTCGAACTTGATCCTCAATGACTTGCGGAGCTACAAGGCCGTTCCGGAAACACTTCTTGACACACAGAACAGCATCCACATCGGGGCTCTTGCTGGGCCTTCCAGATTCAACACACGCTTTGGAAGGGGGTCCAGCAAGCTTTGTCCACCGCTAATCTCACTATACCACGTCGCACTTTGACTTCAGTGGACACCAGCTTCACATGTGATCCTACAGATGGAGGCCAAAGTCTGTAATGGAGGTGTTCGGCGATGTGGCACAGGATGTCGCAAGTGACGTCGTGTTCTAGAACGTCTAGTCCATACGATAATGATGCATGGTAGCATCTGCGCCGCCCGCTGCGTGGCTGAGGAGAAAGGGTTGGGACTGATGATGTGCATGAACGATTTGAAAGCCTGGGAGCAGACAACGAGCCCGCGAGCCGAAGGCATCGCCAGTACCCGTCCGCATGCCTTTAGACAACAACGGGAAGCTGAGAATGACCAGAGCCAACATCACTTCGCTTACGTTGCTTCGATCCGCTTCAATTTCTAGAAACCAATACGAACAACCTCTGTGCAAAGGATTACGCAGAAAATCGCCCAAGGGAAGCTCCAAAAGCTCACTGTTATAATCTGTGATGGCCGGTATCGCAAACGTATTTCACCGCACAAGCACCGCGGCGGCGGTTTCAACCTACCCAGCAGGTGTGGTAGCCACATGCCTACAGAGTAGCTCTACCGGTATATGCGAGAACGAGACTTCACAGGCTGACACTGCCTGTCAGCCTTCTCAAAGAAACGTCGGACCTGAGCCGATGCCTCTCTGCTAACACCGGCGCGATGTGCTCCGTAGTCTGAAAGTTAATGTGGATGGCGGTGAGTCGGAAGTGGACCTCAAAGTCCCCGGCAACGCCACCACAAAGTTGCCAGAAGACAACTGGGTCAGCATGGAGAGGCGGCACGAGTCGACTGCATTCGAATGGCAACGGCTCCCTGGCTTGCTTCCCTGCTGGCATGCACCTGCTAATCGACAGAGAAGTGAGCGTTTAGAACAAGGACCGGTCAGCCGTCGCCTATTGGTCCGGCGCATGTCTCTTATCGAGTCTACCCCCACATGGATATTTTAGGGCCCGGCAATCTCGGTCAAATTGCGTGCCCCCCACCGTCGCCAACCTGCGGGTTTTTGTCGTGTGCCTCTTTCAGGTCGTTGCTGATCAACGAAACCAACCAAACCGCTCTCAATTGTCATCCAGAGGAATCGCAGAGCTCTCGGCCGAGGATCGGTGCCTCTGTTCGTCACAAGTTGTGGAACAATCTTGTTGCGTCGCTCATGGGTGCCGTGTCCGATCCAGTGTGGTTCCCAGGGTCCATCGGGCAAAGTCGGCCGACCTGCGAGCTTCAGGCTTCAGTTGGCTGCTGGTTTTCAAAAATGTCGGATATTAACGACCATAGTTTTCGGAGGAGCGAAGAGCGACAAGCGCATGGTCGATCAAGTCTGAAAAGGGTTGCGTCCGCCGTGAAACCCTCGACTGCGCCGGTCAGGCTGCAGGCATGAAGGAGCCCCGCGTGGGGGTCTGATTCAATTCTGTTCTCATTTTGCTGACCCAAACAGGGCAGGGAGCATGCCAGCTGCGACCTCGATTCCTGTGGCGTGCGGCCGGTAGGGTGATCAACACCAGATCACCAGTTCGACTTCGCTCTACGGATGCTGAGGCGAAGTCATGGCCTCCATGGCCATGCTTCAGGGGCGCATGTCCTCCACCATGACGCCTACCACGGTTCCTGGGCGGTAAGAAAGACGGCAGTTGTCTCGTGACGTCCAAACAGGTTCGACTTCGGGCCAATTAACCCTTCTTGGGGTTGTGGTGAAGTGCTGGTCGAAGTCTCCTGTCCATCGCCTGTCCATCTGGGCGAACCTCTAATCCGGTTCCTAGCCCAAAGATCTCGAGAAGGGAGAACGAGACTTCAAGTCGGTTTCGTCGGAGTTTGTCGTCGTCAGATATTCGCACGTAAGGCTCGAAAGGACAGAGGAGGATACGGGGGAATGAAGACAGCTTATAAGTTGCCTCTTATCTGGTGCCAGATCTATCAAGGTGTAGGTTTGGCCAACGACTTGCTCAAATAGGGAGCTGACTCCTTTGCACCATTTTTCTAACAAATTAGCAATGCGATGCCGCCAGAGATCGGCTCGCGTGCGCAATCGTCACCCTGTCGCTGTATCACTGACTTATCTGCCTGTCTATCTCTCGTCTATCTTTCTCCTCGGACCTGCCCTATCTGCCAAAGATCAGGGCGTTGCTGTGTAAGAACCAGAAACGCTGCCCACGCTTCATTGGCCTCGCCATCCATTAATGTCAAGGCGTATCTACGAGGCACTCCCCCCTTATCTCCAGACCTCTTGGGATATTGGGGTCTTGGGGCCTCTGCTCGCGTGCCCACCCTTGCCGCACTCTGTTGCCCGCTGCAGGAAGGCGTTGGAGATGGCCTCCCCTTTGAAGATTCCTCCTTGCAGCGCGCACATGTACGATGTTATGCATGTTTGGCGGCGGGAAGGCGGAATGGTGGCACTTGGCCGTTGATTTTTGTTTCCTGTAAGTACCTATGCGCCTTCAAGTAGTTGTTCTTTATCTCTGCTGTGCGTGGGATTGTTTCAAGCGCACCTTCTTATCTAGAAAGATGGGCGGTCTGGGCGGGAACGAGGGGCGGCCCCCTTATCTCTTCTCCAGGTTTTCCTTCTCCTTTCCCCGGATATCGCTTGCCGGTGGGCTGTGTGTCTTGTTGAGATATAGATGCGATCTGCTGCTGCCTACCTGGACTAATTGCGACCCTTTGGCTCTTTGGGGTTTGTTCTCCCGTTACTTGACGCTATACCGATCCGACGCTTCTCGAACTCCCTACGAAACGATGATTTGAAACTCATTTCATCGAAAATGTGATTCCTTCCTGGTTGAGAGATGGATATTGGTCGATTACAATGTGACTTGGAGATCGATATACTAGGCCACGGCTTAGACTTGGAGCACCATCGAAAGTGGACGGGATACACGAGTAGTCGACGGTCATGAAGTGGTGCTCCTCTGACTGGAGTTACCCGTGGGCCCTTTCGGTATCGAGGACAACTTCAACTACGATGGCTCCATCCTGCTACTACATGGTCGGCCCGGACGAGCCGAAGGGGTAGTGGTGCCGATAGACGATGACCGGCCCGGGTAGTCTGTCGGGGAGCGGTGCTGGAAACTACAAAAGGGATGATGTCGTCGTCCCCATAGACATCGGCGCTTCTGCTGTTGTTGGCTTCTTGGGCTGACGAGATCTTGAGTGACCGACGCCCGTCCTAACCTACTCGGACCATCCTGGCTGGCTTCCACCCTGAAAAGGTCTTGGGGGTTTGTTCGGTGCATCACGACTCGTGGTACATGTCGTCACCCTCGCTTGCCATGCAATACTCTATAAGTACTACTAAACTAAGAAGACACTATCCGAGAACGATGCCGACGTCCATGAGAGCATCAAGGAGACGACGCCTCGAACGCCAAACTCGAAACCCGATATACGAAGCCTTGTTCACCGACCTATGATTCGAGACTAGAGTGTCACCGTACACGAGACTCCTTCAACATCAACAAAGCCATTCACTGGCTTTGACGACTGTCGACTCTTTGACTGGCGGGTTATGAGGAAGGATTGCGTTGGTACACGTACCTTGAGTCCCGGATACATGAGCAATGGACTCTAGCGCAACGATGGCTGTTCACTCGATATTAACGTGACAGATCACGGAAGGGAGGAACATGTTAGGATGCCCACAAGACCTAATATACGACGAGGGGAGTATTCGAGATAAGCCTGTCACGACGGAAGGAACAATGGTACAACTTGAACTCTATCCTTGGTCAGGCACCGATGGATGCGGTGGGCCGCCGTAGAGTCTCGGGGCAAAAGAAGGCTGGCAGTGTCCCTGGGCTTGTCATCGGATGATGTATACAGTCGTGACTAGCAAAGAGCATGGGAAAGGCGGAGAAGATATGTGAGTGATAGACAATAAAAGCTCAAACTACGACCACGCTGCTACATGAGAGCAGATACTTATGCATCACGTGGACATGCCTGATTCCATATTGGATCCAAATACCTGCTGGCAGTGTTCGCGTTTGACTTCTTTTGGAGAGAAAGTTCGAAGAGGATATGGAAATCGACGGGGAGGATCAAAATTGGCCAAACGACCGGGGCATCAGCAAGTTACTAGGAATAGAGCATTATTCCCTTCATAGGATGTCTATGTGTCGGTTCTTCGGGGCAGGAAGAAGTCGATAGTGAACCAATCGAGCGAGAGCCTAATGGAGAGAGTCGTAAGTGTACACGGGTACACAGACATACATAATACTCTAGCAGGATGAAGGCCGAGGCAGCACCGCGGTCCTTTATCTGATGAGATTACTACACAGAAATGGTTGCAAGGCCAAACCATATAGCCGGCCCAACAGGTTCGCGAGCACGCAGCACTCGAGGCCGGCCAGTTACCCTATGGCAAGGAAGACGATAGAATCAAGGACGACATTGAATTCCATACGTGGAAGTGAATCGTTTGACGATCTTGTTGGCTGTGATCTTTGTCT